CTCCAAAAGTTGTTTATTGAACTGTTCTTAATGTTATTTCCAAAAAAAAATTATTTTTTTTTTCAAAATTTAGATAAAAAGAAAAACCCTGGTGTAAAATCAAAACTCTTAACAGCTGAACCATGGACATGCTCCGATGCACAAGAGAACCGATGGCCCCTGGCGGCTGGCGCTGCTTGCCCCGAGGGTCCCCAAACCCCTCCTCAGGTCATTCCAGTGGGGTGCAGGTACAGCACCCTCCAAAAAAAAATTATTTTTTTTTTCAAAATTTAGATAAAAAGAAAAACCCTGGTGTAAAATCAAAACTCTTAACAGCTGAACCATGGACATGCTCCGATGCACAAGAGAACCGATGGCCCCTGGCGGCTGGCGCTGCTTGCCCCGAGGGTCCCCAAACCCCTCCTCAGGTCATTCCAGTGGGGTGCAGGTACAGCACCCCTGCCCAAACCTGCCCACAGCCCCTAGGATGGGCTGGGCACCCCATGGGGGCGCAGATCTGGAGTCAAGGCTGCTTGGTGAGCATCCTGCCAGCTATGCACCCGCTAGGGAGGAGGTATTGGGGTCCTTGGCCAGGACATGGGTACCAGTTTCTGGTCAGCAAGGAGCACGTCTGCCCAGCCACCCCCTGGCCTAGGGCTTGGCCTGCACCTCTCCCTTCTCTGCTCATGGCAGCAGACTCCAGGCTAAAGGGGTAAGGAATCCACCAGCTTCTGCTGAATGCGACGTGGGCTGCCAGCCAGGCCTCAAGGACAGATGGGCAGGTGAAGGAGAGACTTAAAATCTCTCAAAAAGAGGCTGCTTTAGGAAAATAAGCCAAGTGAGCGTTCAGTGACTATCTGAGACTATACACAGATGGCGTTTGCCTTAAGAGACACCACACACATGTCAATAGATTTCCTGGCAAGAGCTCTTAACACAAGCCATACGTGGTTAGTAACTACAGGAGCTGCTGGGTGGGCATCGATGGAGCAGCCCACGAGACAGGCAAGGTCGTCCTAGGTCATGCCGGGGGTGACCAGGCCCTGGAGCATGATCATGAGGCGACGGGCAGGCTTGCTCAGGGTGGTGTGGTGTTCCACCTGCAGGAACTGGAAGAGCTTCTGCCGCACCTGGTTCATGACTGACCCCATGTGGTCTCGGGTGATGGGGTCACTGTGGTCCAGGTGCATCACCGCTTCCTCCAGGTAACTGAAGGAGAGAGACCGAGGTTAGAACCAAACCCCACGCGTGACCCCAGTCTATTTCAGGTCATTTCAGCACCAAAGAGGCACAATTCCACTGCCCCCACCCACTCAAACTCCGTGCAGTGTGTGCAGCCATCAGCAAACAAGCATTACTGACTCGTAGCAGAGTCCGCCTGTCCCTTCTTCAGCACATGAAGGCAGCCTGTAGTATGTGTGACACAACCTGGCTGCCTGAACCAAGCAGGCATGACAGCAAGCTACAACTCCCTGCAGGGCTGGAGGTGGCGCTTGGCCACAGGCCGTGCC